TCGCTTGGGGTGACGCATGCGAGCCGAGGCTCATAGAGGGTGTAAGAAAAATGATGAGGACGATGAAGATCTCGATGAAGATGTTTATTGCAGCATAGCAGTGACAAAGTACATGTAATACCTTGGGTTCAACGGAGTCAGAATGAACCCCGAGCCTCCTACGCTCAAACATTTTATACTCTATTACGTTCATCTTCCCGCTAGACATGTAAATGAAGTTTCGTCTTAAATGTAAATTGCGGATAACAATGAAAGTGATAGCCTTCTGTTCCCATATCTTTGGAAGTCTTTCAGTTGGAAACAACCAAATGTTCAGGTGATAGGATTATCTAGAATCCCTAGCAATTATATTCAAGTACCCTTTTGGTCAGCAGATGGTTCTTGATGGCCTACTGCCGCTCCCACGCTATAGGTGACGATTGACGAAGTAACGTTCAGGAGATACTATTTACATATTATTGAAAGAATTATCTCTATGATAATTAAGCTCTTTGTAGAGAAAGGAGAATAGTTTAATTGGAGTGGAAGTTTGGTCGAGGTAGACTATAATTTCTTACAAGGGTGAGTCAACGGAGTTTTCTCCTTTCCTCTCGCTCTCTTCAGGCCATGTGCAAGCGCTCGAAGAGCACTACGGGGATCCCGTTGTCTTTGTCAACGATGATTTGCGGCCTACCCCGGAAGCTCGTGATGCGATGTCTTTCAGTTGTATGCCGTATGACAAAGATGTGCTGTCCACAGCGGCCTCCGATTCGGAGGATATATTGGGTGAAGTTTGCAGTTTTCTCCCTCCGAGCGGACAGGAGAAACGCACCTCCCCGTCTTACAGTGAACTGTTAGACGTTGTAACGCGCGCTGTGGATAAGCTGGGGTTAAAGTGGGAAAGCGAGCTGGCGAAAAATCAGGCCCAGTCGAAACTGGACGACCGATTTTTGTCTAGCCACACTCCGTCTCAGCCCCGTAGGTCTCTCCTACGGGGGAGGCCAAGGCCTCTCGTTCTCAGGCTCCTAATAGCAGTTCCTGATTCCTTTGCTCGTCTTCGGAGGCCAGGCCCTCCTTTAGAGAGTGTGGACGAACCGCACAAGCGTATTCGCCTGTCTCGTTGTGGCCTCCCAGCTCAGATCTTGACAGTCCCGCCGCATACTGCACCTCTGGCAGTTTTAGGTCGAGTCCTTTTGACGAGCACCCCCTCAGATAATCTGGTCAATGCGAGCATGACCCATTTATGACGGCCTTCAAAGCTCCCACTCTTGGGGTGGTGGGCAGGCCCGACAGGACATTTGTACATCTTCCTGTTATAGAATTTCCCGCCACTCAGGTGCTTTGGGGCCCTATACAGGAAAATCAGGTGAATATTTAAAATGTAGAATGACTAAAGCCCCTAGCAGACTATTGGGCTGTGTGGAGACGCCTGCCCGACGTCTCACAATGGGTACTACGCACCGTTCGACACGGTTACATCATCCAGTTTCGGAAAGGGCCACCTCCTTTCAGCGGGGTTCTTCCTACGACAGTACGTCCTGGGGAGGCCTCAATTTTAAGTCAGGAGATCTTGTCACTCCTAGAGAAAGGGGCTATAGAGGAGATACCCCCCACTCAGATGGAGTTAGGCTTCTACAGCCGGTATTTTGTTGTGCCCAAAAAAGATGGTGGTTTACGTCCGATTTTGGACTTCCGTCGTCTAAATCTTGTGCTCAGATTGAGCAAGTTCAAGATGCTAACAGTGAAGTCCATTCTGTCTCAGATCCAATCCGAAGATTGGTTTGTAACCATCGATCTAAAGGATGCATACTTTCACATCCAGATCGTCAAGAGACACAGTAAGTTCCTCAGGTTTGCTTTCGAAGGCAAGGTTTACCAATATTGTGTTCTTCCGTTCGGACTAGCTTTGGCTCCTCGAACTTTTACAAAATCTATGGACGCAGCTCTGGCCCCGTTGCGGCTCCAGAGCACTTGCTGCTGGTGGCCCCGTGGTGGCCCACTCAGTCGTGGTTCTCAGACCTGGTCAGTCTGCTAGCTGGCCCTCCATGGGAGGTTCCCTGTAGTTCAGTTGGGCCTGCTCCACATGGGACCGTTTCAGTGGTGGACCAAGAGACAGAACATTTCACCTCATTGTCATCCGCTTCGCAGAATTACGGTGACACGCAAGGGCTTTCGTGCTCTAAGCCCGTGGATGAGACCCCAGTTCCTTCAAGAAGGAGTCCAGATGGGGACATTGTGTTGCCGCAAGACAATCACTACGGACACATCCCTTATGGGCTGGGGAGCGGTCCATCAAGGACGTCCAGTCTGTGGAGTCTGGACAGAGGTGCATCGTGGCTGGCACATAAATCGTTTGGAGATGCTAGCAGTCTTCCTGGCTCTCAAACAGTTTTTACCCTAGTTGAGGGGTTGTCACGTGTTAGTCAGGACGGACAACACGACAGTTGTTTCGTACCTCAATCATCAAGGAGGATTATGTTCCCACCCCCTGTGCAGGCTGGCGAGGAGTGTTCTTCTTTGGGCTCAGACAAAGCTCCTGTCGATCAGACTCAGTCCATGTCCCAGGTCGCCTGAACTCAGGAGCGGACTTGCTCTCGAGACTGAGTTTGGAGGATGGGGAGTGGAGATTGCACCCCCAGGTGGTGGATCTCATATGGCAGAGGTTTGGCCAAACGGAAGTGGACTAGTTTGCTTTGAGCATGACTACGCACTGCCCGCTCTGGTTTTCCCTGTCTCCCCCGTCACCTCTAGGTCTGGATGCTCTGACCCACAAATGGCCCAGGACCAATCTTTATGCTTTTCCCCCAATCCGGTTGCTCCCAGTAGTTCTGTTCAGAGTACGATCAGACAGAGTGGAGCACTTGCTGCTGGTGGCCCCGTGGTGGCCCACTCATTTGTGATTCTCGGACCTGGTCAGTCTGCTAGCCGACCCTCCATGGGAGGTTCCCCTCAGACACGATCTGTTGACACAAGCTCGGGCATGATTTGGCATCCTCGACCGGAATTATGGAGGTTATGGGTGTGGCCCCTGAGCGGAGTACGCTAATGTGTTCCGGTCTCTCGGCCGAGATTACCGACACTATTATAAAATCTAGGGCTCCCTCCACGAGACGCTTACCGGTATATGCTTTCAAGTGGAGACTTTTTGCCTCTTGGTGTAGACAGCGCATTCTAGATCCAGTCCATTGCCCCATTGGTTCAGTACCGGAGTTTCTTCAAAGTCGTTTTTCTGAGGGAGTTACCCCCTCCACTCTTAAGGTGTACGTGGCGGCCATATCGGCGGGGCATGCACTCGTGGGAGGTGTTTCAGTTGGTCGCCACCCCCTGGTCTCCCGTATTATGCAGGTTTCGAGATGGCTTAGGCCTTTCCGCCCAGCACGAGTTCCTTCTTGGGACTTATCGATTGTTTTGGAGGGCCTGACATCCTTTTGAGCCGTTGGCGTCTGTGTCAGAGAAGCTCTTGACCCTCAAGACGGTTCTTTTGATGGCTTTATCCTCCCTTAAGAGGGTAGGGGATCTGCAGGCTCTCTCCATCAGCCCTTTGTGTATGGACTTTGCCCCAGGGCTGGTTAAAGTCTTTTTGCGACCTAGGCCTGATTATGTTCCTAAGGTCGCTTCGACTCTGTTTTGCTTTCAGCAAGTGGTCTTAGAGGCCTTCTCCCCAGCTGATGCGGGGCCAGTTAGCCTGAGTCTCTGCCCAGTGAGGGCACTTAAGATCTATGTTGACCGCACGGCTCAGTGGCGTGGATCTGACCAGTTGTTTGTGTGTTTTAGTGGTAAGAGCAGAGGTTATGCTGTCACTAAACAGCCGATGTCACACTGGATAGTAGAGGCTATCTCTTTGGCCTATGAGGCGCGTGGCTTGACTTTGCCTTTAGGGGTGCGTGCTCATTCTACAAGAGCAGTGGCTTCTTCTTCATCGCAGCATCGAAGTGAGCCTATGAGAGGGAACATCTCGGTTACGTATGTAACCTTGGTTCCCTGAATAGGGAACGAGATGCTGCAATGTGGGCCGTTCCGTTACTTTGATAGCGCTTCCTTCGTAAACAAGTGGAAATCTGATGAAATAGCTCGCAGCACGCTGATATAGCTCACTTACGTGCGCGTCGGGGGCGGTACTAAGTGCTATTTGGCCAATGAATTGGCGTGATGGTATACGGGCTTCAGACATTCGTCACACCGAAGGTGATCCCAAAGCGATGACGTCATCGCAGCATCTCGTTCCCTATTAAGGGAACCAAGGTTACATACGTAACCGAGATGTTTTCTACAAAACAAAACTGGAAATTGAGGGGTTATGACATCATTGGCAGGCGACACAATGACACTATTGTTTTTTTAAATTAAAGATATAACATTCACAGGGAAACAGTCAAAGCAATAAAATACATACATAACCAGAATACAAAACAGTAAATACATAATAATAAAAATGAAATATAAACAAAAAAAAACAAATAAATAAAAATTAACAAACATCTTTAAAAAAAAAAAAATCATAAATTAAAATAAAAAATAACTAAAATAAAAAATTACACATAAAATTGCAACTTCAAAGAATACTCAGGAGGTAACCCTTACATCAAAGTCATTATTTTTTCCATCAATACAGTAGTTTTAGCAGCTTTCCTATTAAGTGATGAGCAGAGAGATTCATAAAATAGTTTCAAATCAATACAAAAACTCCTAACATTGGGCATACAATCAGTAACTTTACATTTGTGAAGATGAAATAGGCCACAAAGAGTTAACAGTTTTAACATATCATCCAGCTCCTTTGATCCTGATTCCCAAATCAAAAATAGTACATTAATTATCTCAAAACTAAAACGTTTGTTGTAAGCTTAGAAAACAAGCCAAGACATTTCTTTCCAAAAAACCTTTGCATAATCACATTAAAACATTAGAATTACAGAATGTGCATTGTGAAGAGATGTCCAACTTAAATTTTGAGAGTAAAGAATTACAGGGATAGTACATATGAAGAATTTTATAGTAAAGTTCTTTCATCTTGTTAGGTAACAGAAACTTGTTAATACCGGCCCATATTTTAATAGTAGAAAGAAAAGGGTAATTCAATTTCCACGTATAAAATGCTTTAGGATGACAACTAAGCTTCTTAATAAGGGTCGACACAATGACACTATGGACACGGTCCGTGTCACTAGTTAAAATTGCTTATTTCTCTGAATTTAAACATTATTCGAAACATTTGGTATAATGTAAGTACACGTCAGCAAAATATATAACACTGTTCAAAATAATTTCAAATCAATACAAAAAATCCTAAAATTGGGCATACAATCAGTAACTTTACATTTGTGAAGATGAAATAGGCCACAAAGAGTTAACAGTTTTAACATATCATCCAGCTCCTTTGATCCTGATTCCCAAATCAAAAATAGTACATTAATTATCTCAAAACTAAAACGTTTGTTGTAAGCTTAGAAAACAAGCCAAGACATTTCTTTCCAAAAAACCTTTGCATAATCACATTAAAACATTAGAATTACAGAATGTGCATTGTGAAGAGATGTCCAACTTAAATTTTGAGAGTAAAGAATTACAGGGATAGTACATATGAAGAATTTTATAGTAAAGTTCTTTCATCTTGTTAGGTAACAGAAACTTGTTAATACCGGCCCATATTTTAATAGTAGAAAGAAAAGGGTAATTCAATTTCCACGTATAAAATGCTTTAGGATGACAACTAAGCTTCTTAATAAGGGTCGACACAATGACACTATGGACACGGTCCGTGTCACTAGTTAAAATTGCTTATTTCTCTGAATTTAAACATTATTCGAAACATTTGGTATAATGTAAGTACACGTCAGCAAAATATATAACACTGTTCAAGTGGTTTTTGGATATTTTTATAAAAAAATCTTACATAGGCTATTGTGCATTTAATGCTGGTCATTTTTAATAATTTTATTATTATAATATTATTATTAATAATATATTTTAATAATGCTGGTTCAGTGAGTCAGTGCTCGGACCAATCCCGTTGGATTCATGAAACCCTTTTCCCTTGCAGCATAAAAGTAAAGAATTCTTAGGACCTCTGTTGGATTGTCTATAAACGAATTACAAATATGGTTAAAGCAGAATCTTTTAGTGTTAAACGAGAACAAAACCGAAATCATTTTGTTTGGTCATATGAAGACTGTGCCCTTCATTTTGGTCATCTCTCTTCCTACTTTACACCCTGTGCTAAAAATCTTGGTGTTCTTTTTGATTGCAACCTGGGTTTTAAGAAATAAATTAGTGCAGTGGTCAAATCAAGTTTCTTCTACTTACGGCGTTTATCAAAAATCAAAACTTTACTCTCTGTAAAACAGTTTGAACAGAGTATTCACTTGTTTGTTCTATCTCGTTTAGATTAGGCTACTGTAATTCACTATATGGTAGGGTATAGCTAAGTCAGTACTATAATGCGTTTACAGATGGTCCAAAATGCTGCTGCAAGGTTGCTGACAGGCAGACGGAGGTTCGACTGGTTTGACTGGTTACCAGTCAAATTTAGAATTATTTTTAAAATTGTAACTTTTGTTTTTAAATCTCTGCATAATCAAGCCCCAACATATCTCTCTGAGGCACTCATAAACTCATAAACCAAATAGGTCCCCAAGATCCAGTAATCTTGGTCTCCTCTCTGTTCCTAGATCAAGGTTCCATTGACGTGATCGAGCCTTCGCTGTTGCTGGTCCTTGCTGTTTTGTCAATAGCTTTTATTTAGCCGTGTCAATTGTATTGTTATATTGTGTTTTGATGTTTTGTGGTTTCTTGTTTTATTTTAGCTGTATTGTAGCTACAGCACTTTGGATCAACCGGTAGCCTAGTTGTGTGAAAGTGCTTTATAAATAAAGAAAGAAAAGACGATTATTTTGAAATATTCTTCTCAGAAGAACGATTCGGTCACGAACCAGACATCGCAATCATACTCTCACGGTGTTTTCAAAGCATCTACTGAAATTTTTAAAGTGTTTTGAATTTTATTTTGCAAACAGTTACAATAACATGGTTTCATCAAAAATGTATTAATCATCAAAATAAATATTATTACATTACCAGCATTAAAATTCCTTCAGTGAGTCCTTCATTGTCGGATCAATTCAGTCTGATTCGTGAAAACGATGATCTGTGTTGATAGCTGCATACAAAGAATTCATATATAGGCATGTGGTATTATGAATAGAGCTTGGTGGAGTGTTGTCAGTTCTCTTCATCGTAGCCGACAAGCTTTGCACTTATTTCCCACAATCGCAGGGCAGCGAGATCATCTTTACCTTCAGGAGCTGGTTCCTTCAGCTTACAATCACTGTAAACAGATCTCATTGTCATTCAGAGTCAAGAATAAACATATTAGAAAAGATTAAATATTTAGACAAATTTAAATGCAAACCCATCATGGTGAAAAATATATTAATATTAACAGCTCACCTGAAATAGCAGCCACTGTGAGACTCCAGCCCCTCAGCAACCGCACAGTAAATAGAAGTCTGAGCGCCTTGACTGGGGGTTTTCATCAGTAAGAGAGCAGGAAAAGACAACAGAGCACTGAGCAGAGGGTGGCGTGTCTGCACGTAACGTCCCAGTTCAGTGCGGATTACTCCAGGGTGAAGAGAGTACACCAGTTACACCAGACCCTGATTTAAAATAGAGCAGGAATAAACAAGCCTAATGCAATACTCAGTTGTAAAACTGTTTTTAAAGCATTTTCTATGTTTGAATGTGACTGATGCATTGGGAATGAGTGCACAAACCTTTAATCCTCCGTTCTAATTCTCGAGTAAACAGCAGGTTGGCAAGTTTGCTCTGCCTGTAACTGACCAAGGAATCGTAAGGTGCTTTGTTGAAGTTAAGGTCATCAAAGTGGGTCTTACCTACAAAAGGTCATCTGACTGAAATATGTCACATGGATATGAAAGTCTCATTTGCAAAATTAATAATACTGTAATCTCAAAATGTATAAACATTTTTCACATGTACAGTACATAAACATTTTGTTATGCGTAAATTACCTTTTTCAGCATTAAAATGGACTAAATTCGATAAATTTAGCATTTAAAATGACTGCTAACATTCCTGATATACACAAGATTAAATATGGATATTTTCTGGTATATTTTGTTTATCACATGTACAACAAACGTTTTATGGAAAGCCTCGCAACTAAAAGATGTGAAGCTAAGATGTTAATGGGTGGGTTTTACCTCCTTTGTGAGCAATACTGGATACATTAATAATTTGACTAGGACTAGACTTCTTCAACACGTCCAGGAGCAGGACAGTCAGGAGGAAATGGCCCAAATGATTGATAGCAAACTGGGTTTCATAGCCATCCTCTGTAAGGCTTTTAGGGCACATCATCACTCCTAAAGGGTTTGTTCACACAAAATGTGCAACAAGTAACAATACAGGTTAAAGCACGGTGTTATTTGTTGCTTAACTAATAATGAGGTCAAAGGTCCCACCAGCATTGTTAATAAGTATATCCAGTCGATCCTCAGTGGCAGTGTATTCATGCACAAACTGCTGCACGGAGAGCAGAGATGAGAGGTTTAAGTGCCGAACTACTATGTTGCCATTTCCTGTAGATCGGCGAATCTCTGCCACAGCCTTTTCTGCTTTTGAAAGATCTCGACAAGCCACCACAGCCCGAGCCCCTAAAAAAAACAGATGCTATTGTCCATCAGCTTATGATGCAAAGTGCACCTTATATCCCTTAAAATCCTCCAAAATCTAGACCTTTCAGTGGTTTTGTAAGGATAAAATGACAAAACATTTCAACAGTGTGTTTACCTCTCATGGCCAGGTCACGTGCTGTCTCTTTTCCAATGCCAGTGTTGGCACCAGTAATGATGACTGTCTTCCCATCCAGTCGCACACGACAGCGGCAAACTCCACCTGCAATCCATTTTCTCAGCAGAACCAAACCTGTTTTTGAAGGTCTATTATAAGCCACATTCTTTCATTCAAGTCCCAGGGAATTCTACACGTTGTAAATGTGGTCTACAAAGATTCTGAAAATATGAAAAAGTGCTTTTGGTTTAGATCTGGCTTGGAAGCACTGCTGAAGAGTTGGCTCACTGCCCTTATCAAATCCATAAGGTCCATAATACAAAGAGCCACTTCAAAAAAAAAAATTTTTAAATTTATTGCTGTAAATGTGTACATTTGCTGTGTAAACACCATGCAAGTCGAACAAATATCCAAATATATATGGATTTGATATTACTGTGCAGTGGAAAAAAATATGATCACACAGCTTCTGAATTCTATTAGATTCCTCAAAAAATGAACCAAATCCCTTAAGCTATGTTAAATACCTTTTGAGCCACAGCATTGTACATTCAGCACAATAGCTCTGTATTATTATATTCTACAATATATGGAAGAAACTTATTAGTTTATAACTGACTGAAATTAGAATGAGAGGAAATGACATTACGTAACTTACTAATAGCTGTGACCGCAGTTACTGTGCCGTATTTGGCGAGACGATTTGACTTCAGTTCCTCCCACAGTTGAGTTACTCGAATAGAGAGATACATGTCATCCACTGTGATGTGCTGTCAGCTCTACTTTCATTTTATTTTCTGTCGTACAGTAACTCTTTTCTTTGCTTACAAAAATCTGTACGGCCACCGTCAAGCTCAGTGCCGGCTAACACATCTAAGCACCCTGCATTTAAGGCTGGGTCAAGGTTTTATAAGAAGATTCAGTCAAGATCATGTTAGATTCCATGGCTTACGCTCAGACAGAAATGTGAAGAACAAAAACAGTGATCTAAACAAATTCTGCTTTTCAAACAGAAAACTGTAACAAAAGATTTTCATTAGATGCAAAAAAGTTTCTTGGATTTAAGATTGACTTCATTTGTGCAGTTTGAGGTATTTGAAAATAGCTCCTGATCTTTTAAGCTATAAAAAGCTTTTTGGGGTATATTGTATGGGTCATGTGTCATCTTCCCTCCTATGGCCTTATTCGTTGGTTTGGCACTATTTTGATGATTTTATTAGGTTATAGCTCCCAAAATCAGAAATATGGGTATCAAAATAAAAAATCAGTCAGGGTTGCATATATTTTAAAATGCGCTTTCTCTTAATCTATTGTTATAACCATATGAGTTTGTAAACAAGACACAACCTACTTTTTTTTTTTTTGATTGAGTAGCAGGCTAAAGTAGGTTGCAGTTTATCCAATGACTACTGCAAAATAGGCTAATTGGACATTCTTTCCCTTTGAATTTTCCTATGGGTTTTAAGGAATATTTTTGATATATGGCATGTGATTTAAATTAGTGCAAGATACATTTTTTTCTACACTTAGTCTTAAAAATTAAAGTTCCAAAAGGGGGTTTCGCCGAGATGCCACAAAAACCATTTTGGGCTACCCAAAAAACCTTTTAGTGAAGAGATCTTAAAACTCTTTTTTCTTCTTCTTTTCTTCATGTGAAGAACATTTTAATAATCTAAAGAACCCTTTTCCACTAAAGAACCTTTTGTGCAATGGAAAGGTTCCATGGATGATAAATGAACCATACATCCATGGAACCATAGATGCCCATAAATAACTTTGTGAACATAAAATAGGCTACACAGTCAAACAATAAAGGTGAATTTTGAAGATGCATTGTTTTAAAACAAAGTGCTAACAAATTGTCACATAATTTAAAAACGCAGCTGCTTCATGCCTAAGGTTTTAAGGTATGAATTTTGAACAAAACAGATCGTATTTAAGTTATGTTTTTAAATTTAAACCATCATCCTAAGAAATGGGAAAGAAAACAGGAAAATCTCGAGGGGAAGCCATTGCTCTGAAATCCAAATTCTGTTCTTGGTTTTAAGAGTATAAACTTAAACGACTCTATAAAACATGAGGGGCTTCTTTCTTTGTTACTACTTATTTAGACGTTATAACAATAATTGAACAAAACACCAATTCGTTCTATAAAAATCCCAAAACTGTGTTGGTGTTGTTGGAGAAACATACTCGTTTTAATATGAAAGAGTTGGTGTTTCAATCGAGGAATATTTAGATAGAACCATTTAATATCTTATGCGAGTAATGCATTCCTGACTTCTAAACATCAGGCGCCATCTTAGAATTAGTGAAGGCAAAGAGTGAAGCCTATTACGAAAAGAAAACGTTTATGCAGGTGTTATTAGTTATGGCGCGAGACTAGCATACATTGACTAAAAAAGTCAACGTTTTCCTTTCGATGATCGAGTTGTGAGTTTGTGTCGTTAACTCTGCAGTGGTAATGTTGGATCATTAGCCTACACTATTTAGCCGGCTAAGCTAGTGGGTGTGTGTCCTGTTTAGTGCAGATTAACACTGCCGTTATAAAACAACCACATCAGTGCAGCAGATAGCACGACAAATGCTCGAAAATGTGAAAAAATTCGTAATGTTGATATTTACTGTAAATGGTAATTAGCTTCGATAAAACAACATTATAACATTTTTGCGTATTATTGGAAGTGATACTCCAGGCACCTTTTCATATCATTATATGCGTGTAATGTAACGACGACTCTTCGCTAGCATAGACATTAACTATTTTATTCGCTTTTTTTATTAAATAATGAATAAAAAATCACGATCAACCCGCCTTTCTCACAAATATCGCAACCAATCAGCGTGCAGGGAAACGCTCGTGGAAGTGACGTTTTTAAATGTTTCGCCTACCACCGCGAGCATAGAGGGAAAACGTCTGCAGAGCAGGGATCATTGTTTTCCCATCATGGCAAAGCCCGCGAAGAATTAAAGGAAATAAGGCATTATAAATTTGCATAATATCTTGCACATATGCAAAACCGTGCACGAGGTAAGAGTCTCCCTTCTTCTCTCTGGAAGCAGCGCGTCGTTGTTTGTAAAGAAGTTGTTAAAAGTTGTTCAGTCAGGTAAATGCTAGCCCCTGTAGCTATGCATTCACAGCTGCACGGGGTCGCGCATGAGTGCAGTTAGCAGCGCGTGCTAACGCTAGCCTCGCGCGCGCTCCACGGGAGGATCGCGTGCGTGCGTGCGTGCGCGCGTCTGTGTTATGGCGTTGAAGGGACTCGTGTTTATTTTGGCAGGATGTCGATACTGAGTCAAGGAGTCGATTTAGCGGCTGATCCATGTCACTTTCTGCCGAAGTATGACAGAAAGTAAACAAATATTTAATTTTTTTTTATAACTTTGAGTAGAGCAGACACAAAACAAGCACTGACAACTAAAATAATTCATATTTACGGGCACATTTCCCCTGCTTTCCACTATAACGTTAGTACATTTGCTGTTTTGTAGTAATAACTTATTATTGCTACAAAATAATAATGTTATTATATAATAAAATATATGTATATTAGATTATAGAATTAGATTATGATTAGAATCTGTACAAAAAGATTCATATTGTCATGTTAACTAATAATAATAATAACAACAATTATTATTATTATTGTCACTTTATAGCTGTCAAATAGATTGTCATTATATGTTCAGCCACAGACATTACTAGTCTTGTTGACAGGAGTGATGACACTGTATAAGCATCAGTCTTTGTTTACAGAAACATGGCAGAATCAGACCTTTACATGCAATGTGATGAAGATGATCTGGAGCCATGCCAGAGTTTTACAGAAAACAGGGACCAGATATATAACAAAGGTAATTATGTTTTTTAGTTTGTTTTACTACAAGTAAAAACTACTCTTTATTATGTATTGTTTAAATGTATGTGGTCTAGAAGGCTTTGAAGTGTTTTATGAATATCATTTAATCATATATTCAGAAAATTAGTGTAAATACAAATAAAAGTGTTTTGCCTTTTGTTCATTTATTCATTTACTTAGTTACTGTAGTCCCAAGTGGCAATAGTGCACTGATACCAATACAGTCTGATGGCACCTCTGAACCAACATCAGCTACTACTGACCTCGCAAATCAAGCTGTACCTTTGGCGTCTGGTAAGAAGAAAACAAGCATGCTTCTAAAAAAATATTCCAAAGCCTGGTAGAACTGGCTTTCTAATTAGAGGCTTACAACTTCCGTTCCATGTACTGACACCTAATGGTCATTAGTTTGTGATTAGAAACACTGAAAAAGCACTGTAAAAAGAATAGCTGTGGGGCTTCAGTGTGGAAATAAACAACCAAGTGTTTTGTTTTTACCTCTAGCTCCTGCTGTTACGTTACTGCCTAATGCTGCCCAACCAGCTGGAGCTGCAGGTGGCCAAACCATCTTCATCAGTGCACAGGTTTTAGTTTTCTCTTTTACTGTCAATAAGGCATTTAACCTTCTGTTTACATATTGAAACTAGACATGTTGTATTTAAATGATGGTCATCTGTTTTAGCCTAATCCAGGGCAGCCGTTGGCAGGTTCAGTGAGTTTGGGAACATCACTTGGTTACCTTTTGAATGGACAACCTATTAGTTTTCTGACTTCTGGTAAGTCTTAACTCAAACCAGTGATTTTATTTCACAGTTACTCTCAGACACATTTTGTGGGATGCGTTGCTGTCTTTAAAGATGGCATGAAATGAACATTTAAATGTTGTATATCATATGGTGAACAATTCATCCATGCATATGTTTAATTCTTTTGACCTCAATGTTTAATAAAAAAAAATTACAATACACACACTTCTCTGGTGATGTATGCCTGACTTAAACCACACTCCTCACATTTCAACATTCAACAACCAGTGTGAATGGGCTTGCATCAGACTTATAAAATAAATAACTATGTAAAGTGTTCAAGAGTCTACAGTATTCCAGAAATCTGTTGCCAGGCATTTAGTTTTCTTTTTTTATTCCTCTGCTGCTCAAAAACAGTACTTATTTTGCTGAAATAGTTTTGTCTGTCCTTATCAGCTCAGACACCACAGTTAATTGCTCCTCGGATGGTTACCCCAGCGAGTTCAGTACAGCAAACAACCCCTGGAAAAATGTCTGCATTGCAGATCCCAGTCACTTTGACCATCAGCAACCCCTCAAATTTACAAAGCATCACTTCAGCAGCCCCTGGAGTGACCACTCTAAACATGACACCCTCCAACGTCCTACCAGCCGCAAATCCAGGTGACAATTTATGCAGTTGATACTTCAGATTTTACAACTGAAACATTTTAGATGATTTAACCCTATGTTTATTTTGTTATTTTATTAGGAGCAACAATAAAAGTAATAAAGTTTACAAAGTTTACTGGAGCACCTGCAGCTGCTGGTCAAGTAGTGAGTTCATTAGTGCAGCCAAACAAAGCCGTCACCATCCAAAACAATATAACAAACAGAGCTCCAGCCCCGCTCCTGTCTGGTGGGCTTTTTCAGGTCACAAAACCTGCTCCTGCCACAGCAACTAACGGTCAGGACCTTTTTCTAATAAAACACAGATTTTTCAGATCTCATTTTTAGTTGCAATACTGAGTGTTGTTATTGTTTTAAATATGGACATTTTATTTATTAAATATTACTGATTGACATCTTTTAGGTGTTTAAGTGGATTGTTCACCCAAAAATGAAAATTGTCATCATTTGAATGAACTGAATCCATACGAATTGAACTTTACTTAATTTAGGCTTTTGGCTCATCTGTACTTTGCCATGCAAGAATAAACCTCATTGGTCAATCAAGCATGTTTGAGCTTCCGCTTACCATATTTAATGAGCTCTATGTATGTGTGTTGATCAAAGTTTACATGTGAATAAAAGAGATTCATTATAAAAGGAGATTGTGTCTTTTCAGAAGACTTGGATTTCTTTTACAATCTCTTTATGAACTTTTTAAAGTGTAAAATTTCAGAGGACATTCTATGGAGGTACAGGAGTCTCTCAGGTTTTTTCATTTGCATCTTGATGATGACCAGAAGTCATATGGATTTGTAGAGATAATGATGACAGAATTTTTATTTTTGTGCGATCTATCCTATGAAGAGGTCTTTGAGAAGAGTATCTTTGTTTTACAGCATTGAAGAGAGGCTTCAATTCATCAAAATTCTGTGTTCGCTGTAAAGCCTTTTACCAAAAGATTCAGTCCCTGCGTGGATACTACTGTGTAAGTTTTTATTCATACCCTTTTGAGATTAAATGCCTATGAACAATGCTTTAAAGCAGGGGTTTTAAACCATTTTTGGTTTAGAACCTCTGCTGTGGTAATTATTTAAACCTTTCGCCGAGGTCTTTACTCATGTTCCTTTATCTTGTTTCCAATTTTCCAGCAATGTAATCAAGAACTTATCAAGAGTGTCCGGGACTTGACAGCCCAAGCTAGAAAAAGGATCAAGCGCCCGAGTGACAAAACCCACTCAAACCCCTCCACATCCAAGACTCCAGTTTCCTTCTCCACATCCTCAGAAACGTCTCTCAGACAAGTCACCACTTCTGAGATACCTGAAGGAGCGCCTAGTCCTCGCTCTGGTGATTTTGATGAGCAGGGCAGAATGATTATGTTAGTTGAAGACTTCTTCTATGGGCAGCACCCTGGCCAGCCTGCACCAGTAAGTCCCAATGCAGAGCCTGTCATGATGAAATGCCAACTTTGTGACCAGAAGGTGAAGGGTAACATCAAGTAAGTTGGTTTTCAGTTTGTTTTTTGAGGGGAGTTGTTGGTATCGATAGATTTTTCATCCTTTAACCATAATTTTAAAGGCTGATGAACCACACAATACATCACATGGAGTTGGAGCGACAAACAGGGGAAGTAGACTATCATACTATGTGCCAGCACTGCTACAGAAACTTCTCGACACCTTTCCGTCTGCAGTGCCATGTTGAGACAGTCCATAACAAAGCAGAGTCCTCAAGTGAGTCTATACTCCTAGAATGATATGTCCTTAAAATATTTTAATATGTTTGAGAACTAGGTTTTGAACCTTTACAGTTATTAATATTTGACTGCAGGTAATTTAGTGCCAACTTTTAACATTTCATTCTGTTATACAGAAGTGTGCAAGATCTGTGAGTGGTCCTTTGAGGACGAACCTCTCTTTCTGAACCATATGAAACATGCACACAAGCCTGGCGAGATG